TAGGTCTAACCAGCTAGACATGCGATGCGAGGTTAGGTCTAACCAGCTAGACATGCGGTGTTAGGTCTAACCAGCTAGACATGTGGTGACAGGTCTAACCAGCTAGAAATGCAGTGATAGGTCTAACCAGCTAGACATGCGGTGATAGGTCTAACCAGCTAGAAATGTAGTGATAGGTCTAACCAGCTAGACATGCGGTGTTAGGTCTAACCAGCTAGACATGCGGTGATAGGTCTAACCAGCTAGAAATGCGGTGATAGGTCTAACCAGCTAGACATGCGGTGTTAGGTCTAACCAGGTAGACATGCGATGTTAGGTCTAACCAGCTAGACATGCGGTGATAGGTCTAACCAGCTAGACATACAGTGATAGGTCTAACCAGCGAGACATGTGGTGATAATTCTAACCAGCTAGACATGCGGTGATAGGTCTAACCTGCTAGAAATGCGGTGGTAGGTCTTACCAGCTAGACATGCGGTGATAGGTCTAACCAGCTAGAAATGCGGTGGTAGGTCTAACCAGCTAGACATGGGTGGTGGTAGTTCTAACCAGCTAAACATGTGGTGATAGGTCTAACCAGCTAGACATGCGGTGATAGGTCTAACCAGCTAAACATGCGGTGGTAGATCTAACCAGCTAAACATGCGGTGATAAATGTAACCAGCTAAACATGTGGTGATAGATCTAACCAGCTAAACATGTGGTGATAGGTCTAACCAGCTAGACATTCGGAGATAGGTCTAACCAGCCAAACATGCGGTGATAGGTCTAACCAGCTAGAAATGCAGTGATAGGTCTAACCAGCTAGACATGCGGTGATAGGTCTAACCAGCTAGAAATGCGGTGATAGGTCTAACCAGCTAGAAATGCGGTGATAGGTCTAACCAGCTAAACATGTGGTGATAATTCTAATCAGCTAGACATGCGGTGATAGGTCTAACCTGCTAGAAATGCGGTGGTAGGTCTTACCAGCTAGACATGCGGTGATAGGTCTAACCAGCTAGAAATACCGTGATAGGTCTTACCAGCTAGACATGTGGTAATAGGTCTAACCAGCTAGACATGCTGTGATAGGTCTAACCAGCTAGACATGCGGTGATAAGTCTAACCAGCTAGAGTTGCGGTGATAGGTCTAACCAGCTAAACATGCGGTGTTAGGTCTAACCAGCTAGAAATGCGGTGATAGGTCTAACCAGCTAAACATGTGGTGATAAGTTTAACCAGCTTAACATGTGGTGATAGATCTAATCAGCTAGACATGCTGTGATAAGTCTAACCAGCTAAACATACGGTGATAAATCTAACCAGCTAAACATGTGGTAATAGGTCTCACCAGCTAGACATTTGGTGATAGGTCTAACCAGCTAGACATGCAGTGATAGGTCTAACCAGCTAGACATTCGGTGATAGGTCTAACAAGCTAAACATGCGGTGATAGGTCTAACCAGCCAGAAATTCAGTGATAGGTCTAACCAGCCAGACATGCGGTGATAGGTCTAACCAGCTAGCAATGCGGTGATTGGTCTAACCAGCAAGACATGCTGTGTTAGGTCTAACCAGCTAGACATGCGATGTTAGGTCTAACCAGCTAGACATGCGGTGTTAGGTCTAACCAGCTAGACATGCAGTGCTAGGTCTAACCAGCTAGAAATGCGGTGATAGGTCTAACCAGCTAGACATGCGGTGTTAGGTCTAACCAGCTAGACATGCGAGGTTAGGTCTAACCAGCTGAACATGCGGTGGTAGATCTAACCAGCTAAACATGCGGTGATAAATCTAACCAGCTAGACATGCGGTGATAGGTCTAACCAGCTAGAAATACCGTGATAGGTCTTACCAGCTAGACATGCGGTGGTAGGTCTAACCAGCTAGACATGCGGTGATAGGTCTAACCAGCTAGACATGCGGTGATAGGTCTAACCAGCTAAACATGCGGTGGTAGGTCTAACCAGCTAGAAATGCGGTGATAGGTCTAACCAGCTAAACATGTGGTGATATGTTTAACCAGCTTAACATGTGGTGATAGATCTAACCAGCTAGACATGCGGTGATAAGTCTAACCAGCTAAACATGCGGTGATAGGTCTAACCAGCTAAACATAGGTCTAACCTAGCTAGACATGTGGTGATAGGTCTAACCAGCTAGACATGTGCGGTGATAAGGTCTAACCAGCTAGACATGCGGTGATAGGTCTAACCAGCTAGACATGCGGTGATAGGTCTAACCAGCTAGACATGCGGTGATCGGTCTAACCAGCTAGACATGCGGTGATGTCTAACCAGCTAGAAATGCGGTGATTGGTCTAACCAGCTAGACATGCGGTGTTAGGTCTAACCATAGACATGCGGTGATAGGTCTAACCAGCTAGACATGCTAAACATGGTGATAGGTCTAACCAGCTAGACATGTGGTGATAGGTCTAACCAGCTAGACATGCGGTGATAGGTCTAACCAGCTAGACATGCGGTGATAGGTCTAACCAGCTAGACATGTGGTGATAGGTCTAACCAGCTAGACATGCGGTGATAGGTCTAACCAGCTAGACATGCGGTGTTAGGTCTAACCAGCTAGACATGCGATGTAAGGTCTAACCAGCTAGACATGCGGTGTTAGGTCTAATCAGCTAGACATGTGGTGATAGGTCTAACCAGCTACAAATGCAGAGATAGGTCTAACCAGCTAGACATGCGGTGATAGGTCTAACCAGCTAGAAATGTGGTGATAGGTCTAACCAGCTAGAAATGCGGTGTTAGGTCTAACCAGCTAGACATGCGATGTTAGGTCTAACCAGCTAGACATGTGGTAATAGGTCTAACCAGCTAGACATGCTGTGATAGGTTTAACCAGCTAGACATGCTGTGATAGGTCTAACCAACTAGACTTGCGGTGATAGGTCTAACCAGCTAAACATGCGGTGGTAGGTCTAACCAGCTAGAAATGCGGTGATAGGTCTAACCAGCTAAACATGTGGTGATAAGTTTAACCAGCTTAACATGTGGTGATAGATCTAACCAGCTAGACATGCGGTGATAAGTCTAACCAGCTAAACATGCGGTGATAAATCTAACCAGCTAAACATGTGGTGATAGGTCTAACCAGCTAGACATGTGGTGATAGGTCTAACCAGCTAGACATTCGGTGATAGGTCTAACCAGCTAGAAATGCAGTGATAGTTCTAACCAGCTAGACATGCGGTGATAGGTCTAACCAGCTAGAAATGCGGTGATTGGTCTAACCAGCAAGACATGCGGTGTTAGGTCTAACCAGCTAAACATGTGGTGATAGGTCTAACCAGCTAGACATGTGGTGACAGGTCTAACCAGCTAGAAATGCAGTGATAGGTCTAACCAGCTAGACATGCGGTGATAGGTCTAACCAGCTAGAAATGTGGTGATAGGTCTAACCAGCTAGACATGCGGTGTTAGGTCTAACCAGCTAGACATGCGATTTTAGGTCTAACCAGCTAGACATGCGGTAATAGGTCTAACCAGCTAGACATGCGGTGTTAGGTCTAACCAGGTAGACATGCGATGTTAGGTCTAACCAGCTAGACATGCGGTGATAGGTCTAACCAGCTAGACATGCGGTAATAGGTCTAACCAGCTAGACATGCGGTGATAGGTCTAACCAGCTAGACATGCGGTGATAGGTCTAACCAGCTAGAAATGCGGTGATAGGTCTAACCAGCTAGACATGCGGTGTTAGGTCTAACCAGGTAGACATGCGATGTTAGGTCTAACCAGCTAGACATGCGGTGATAGGTCTAACCAGCTAGACATACAGTGATAGGTCTAACCAGCGAGACATGTGGTGATAATTCTAACCAGCTAGACATGCGGTGATAGGTCTAACCTGCTAGAAATGCGGTGGTAGGTCTTACCAGCTAGACATGCGGTGATAGGTCTAACCAGCTAGAAATACCGTGATAGGTCTTACCAGCTAGACATGTGGTGGTAGTTCTAACCAGCTAAACATGTTGTGATAGGTCTAACCAGCTAGACATGCGGTGATAGGTCTAACCAGCTAAACATACGGTGGTAGATCTAACCAGCTAAATATGCGGTGATAAATGTAACCAGCTAAACATGTGGTGATAGATCTAACCAGCTAAACATGTGGTGATAGGTCTAACCAGCTAGACATTCGGTGATAGGTCTAACCAGCTAAACATGCGGTGATAGGTCTAACCAGCTAGAAATGCAGTGATAGGTCTAACCAGCTAGACATGCGGTGATAGGTCTAACCAGCTAGAAATGCGGTGATAGGTCTAACCAGCTAGACATGCGGTGATAGGTCTAACCAGCTAAACATGTGGTGATAATTCTAATCAGCTAGACATGCGGTGATAGGTCTAACCTGCTAGAAATGCGGTAGTAGGTCTTACCAGCTAGACATGCGGTGATAGGTCTAACCAGCTAGAAATACCGTGATAGGTCTTACCAGCTAGACATGTGGTGGTAGTTCTAACCAGCCAGACTTGCGGTGATCGGTCTAACCAGCTAGACATGCGGTGATAGGTCTAACCAGCTAGACATGCGGTGATAGGTCTAACCAGCTAGACATGCAGTGATAGGTCTAACCAGCTAAACATGTGGTGATAGATCTAACCAGCTAGACATGCGGTGATAAGTCTAACCAGCTAGACATGCGGTGGTAAATCTAACCAGCTAAACATGTGGTGATAGGTCTAGCCAGCTAGACATGTGGTGATATGTCTAGCCAGCTAGACATGTGGTGATTAGTCTAACCAGCTGGACATGCGGTGTTAAGTCTGACCAGCTAGACATGCGGTGGTAGGTCTAAGCAGCTAGACATGCGATGATAGGTCTAACCAGCTAAACATGCGGTGATAATTCTAACCAGCTAGACATGCGGTGGGAGGTCTTACCAGCTAGACATGCTGTGATAGGTCTAACCAGCTAGACATGCGGTGATAGGTCTAACCAGCTAAACATGTGGTGATAATTCTAATCAGCTAGACATGCGGTGATAGGTCTTACCAGCTAGACAGAAGGCAGCCGCTTGCATACCAAGAATGGCCGACGTCATTGACGCAGTTGTGTGGAAGGTTTCTCTGAACTCAACGAAGAGGATACCGAACGACTTCAGTAAGCCGACAACAAAAAAGTTCTGGACCATTACAGCTGGAAATGATAAAAAAAAACCCATTGTTTAGTAATTCTGCCAATACAGGGAATCTGACCTATAAATGAAACTGATCATTCGACATCATATTGCCATTCATGATCAATCTATCACTGAGAATGCTTGAATATATTGGTCTAAACGAGTACAAGTCGGGTAACTCCATTTTCACCACAGGTCGGTCTTTCTGTCTGGAAACAACTAATTTGGATGATCCGCTATAAGGTTATAACCAACACATCACTTCATTGCGAACTGACGCGACATAACTGACGTCACTGATGTTTACTATCCATTTGCTAACTATTAGTGCACTAACATACATTAGTGAGTGAGTGAGTTAAGATTTAAAGTCACATCGGCAATATTTCAGCCATATTGTGACTAAAACTAGTTCTAAATTCATAAGACATACATATAATACATAAAACCCTGTGAACGAAAGACAGTAAAATTACTGAATAATCACAAAATGAGTTAAAACTAGCTAGCATATATCTTTAAAAGAAGAACACTATTTTTGGACAATACAATGTAAAAATGGGCTCTTGATCGCCAGCAACTGAAGGTAGATCACCATACTAGTGACACTAATTAACATATACCAATCACTATGTTTCCTTACACAAAAGGCTTTAATTCATATGAGGTAATCTTTTTGTATCAGAACATATAATGAAAGTGACTCACCAAATGTTACCATCCATGCCCATCCCCTGTCTTGTTTTGAGCCTGTCATATCTGTCAAAAAACGACTTCACCACCTTGCAGTCTTTAAATCAAGTCAAGATGATTAATAAAACAATTTATAGGTACTTCAGTGACAAACGTGATTAATACACTATCAATTCCCTGTTAACGTAACCTGCAAGTATCTACAAACATTCCTTTGTAAGGATTCGTGAATCTCTCCATAATTGAGCGGATGGGTGCCTCACGTCGGAGGCTTTATTCATTTATATACTAGCTGAGAACAGCACAAACAAAATGGTGTTGTTGTGAGCCCCGCTGATACACAACCTCAGTGTGTGGGTTACAAAAGATCCGTGACCTGAATGAACGACAAGACTACGCCATTGCAAGTCATTCTCCTGAATATCGATCGTTAGTATGAACATTAATTCCCGACATCCCCATTCTACCTACTTACCAAGCTGTTCTCACTCCTCGCCAACCATATTTTATGATGGAAGTGGGCAGTCATATGAGAGATTCATTTTTCTATTTACATAAGGAAACCAAGGTTAACATCAGGTGTACCACAAAGGCGCTGACCCCGCGACCCAGCCTTCACCATTCGCGTGTACTTTGGACGACACTTTACAGTCTAAGCCTCGGTTTTGTAGCCGTGAAGATCCCTTATTGACCTCAATCGCCTTTCCTATTTCATTTTGAGTACATAACATCATGTCCGTGAGGTAAGCATCGAACCAGACGAGCAGCGTTGTTTGTTTCATTTCATTGGTGTCATGACCCGGACATGGTTCAATGGGCGAGGGTCTACACGGGGCACTGTCTACGTTACCCGAAGGACAAAAGAAACTCTTGATTAGATACAAAATTTGAAAACATTATTCCTTACAAATTACTAGCAAACTGAAAACACACTAAGGTGTAAAAGCTCGAAAATATACTGAGAGAAACAAATAAAGGAACACAGGAAAATTCAAGCGTTCCTTTAATATGTTCTAGTTTTCATCACCAGCTTTGAATAGCGCTGTGGGAGGAAATCTGAGAATAAATAAAGGAACACTGCCATGAAGTGGCGTTCCCTTGTTATTTTCCCTCAGTATAGAACATAATTACGATATCCATATTAGCTGTATGGCCATCGAAACCCCTTTAATTATTGTTGTATCCTTATCCATACACTTTCTTCTGCCTGCCACCTTATGTAGTGTTCATGGCTTTGACGTGGAGTATCTGGGACTCTCTAGTTTTATAGGGGTGGTGGGGTAGCCACGAGGTTAAAACGTTCGGAGCGCCGAAGACCCGGGTTCGATTCCCAACATGGGTACAATGTGTGAAGCCCATTTCTGGTATCCCCCGCCGTGATATTGCTAGAATATATAGCTAAAAGCGGCGTAAAACCACACTCACTCTTATAAAGGAATATATTAATCATCTAAGACTTGTATAACGACTATTTTGGTGTATGTGCTTGGACAGATATTTCTTTTATCATCCAAAACTGTGTTCCGCAGGAGATATCGCTTGTGTAAGATCAAACGATATCTCCTAGGAGATATCGTTTTGACAGTAGATTTTGTACAATGCCCTGACAATGCTATGACGTCATGTACTTGATGACGTCACAATGCTATGACATCGCTGCACTGCAAGTCTAATGGCAGTACCGTGTTCAGAGATGTACTTTTTTCATTGAAAATTAATGAAGAGTGATTTTGGATGATAAATAGAATCTCACCCTCTCATCTTCTGATATCAAATAAATCAACACTCGTTGATAAAAGTTAAAATATCCTCGGCAAGCCTCGGATATTTGTAACGTTATCAACTCGTGTTGATATAATTGATATCAGAAGACACTTGGGTGAGATTCTCTATGTCTCGCTCTGACGTCTGATGTGTTGAACGATATGTTTGTTATGTACGTCTTTAGTCATGTGATCATCGTTGTGCACATGCGGTGAGTTGAGAACTAAGCGTACATCACGACCTACCAGTAGACTGTTTGTCAGGTTAGATGGCGACTAGGAACGTCACCTCCAAGTGTTATAGCGCTCATGTTCCAGGTTTGTTGCACAGATAGAAACAATACACCACGAGAACAAACAACAATACAGAAGAACTAAAACTGATTTGATCAAATGGACCTGTTGACTCTGCTTCGCACAGTAGAGGCATGGAGCAATCAGACAAGAGGGGCGCTTTAGACATCGTGCATTAAAATGTTGCACTTATATAGTGTGTAAAGCGTCACTCTTGCCTGATTGCTTCATGCCCCTACTGCGCGAACCAGAGTCAACATGTCCGTTTTGATAAAGCTAGTCTTAGTTCTTCTATATTCTTGTTTGTTCTCATGGATAACATCTTGTGCTAAGCATGTGTTTTTTATGGAATGGAACAGCTGTGATAAGTTCAGAACGAAATCAGCCTTACCAGCAACGGTCTCTTTTTGTGGTAGCTATCTTGCAGCTAACTCCTTAACAATATGTCCGGGTTAGTCTGCCTGTGTGCTGGCGCGAGGCTAAAGCTATGTAAACACCATGTACTCCACTCTATAAATACACACGTACGTTAATACGATATCCAGGGAGATCAAGATCATGATTGTGGTTGAAAACATTACCTCCAACCGAAGCTGACCTCCTGTCGGTGCTCGAGTCATTATTCCACACACACTAGCTTTGCTTCAAGGCCGCAGTGAGTGATAGGTCTATGGATGTGTAATATCTATGTCCTTATTATAGGCAAGTCTAGATACGCAGACAGTACCAAGAACACCAGTCTTTTACAGGGACAACTTCCTTGTCTTATTTATATGATCTTGAAAGCATTATTTAAACTAATAACTATTGCCATACAGAATTGTGCAAATCTACACATACAAAAAAAGTTACATATGTGTATTCGTGCGTTATTATAATTCATAAAATGAAACTTGGAATTTGGTCAATACAAACAAAGGGAACGTTTTCTCACAGGTTACGATATAAGGAATCTCGCAAGTCTTTGTCGATGCATCTTTAACTAACCGCATGTGTAGTTATTTGGTCATGAAGATTCACCTGGAAATTTGAATATCTCCTATCAAATCAGTCAACAAGCACCAGTGCAAAACAGGCGGTGATAATATATTTTCTTAATTTTTTTTTCAAAGGCATAGTACCTTTAGGGGTACATAACTTCTTTCGCTAAAGTTTCGAGGTTTATATTTTGTTAGGAAACAAATATCGGACATTGAATGATTATCTCCATTAGCTGTACAAGTATGTGCAGTTTATGCAGGTTGTGAGCTGGGGAGTGTGTGATTTTATAACCCTTAACGGAATAGCTATAACTGCGGACTACCTTTTAAAGCATTGTATGTAATTCAGACAAATGCCATTGAGGTATTCAGGGAAAGCACTGAATCATCTCTCCTTCACACGGATGTTGCTACATATTGTTCAACATGAATATATACCAGGATTCTCCTATAAAGTTTGACTTTGTTAAATACATTACACATGCAAATCAAAGCAATGATTTCTACCGTTTTGTGCCGTGGTTCAAGTCATGTATGTTGTATTGGTTGCAGATTGTTTAATCCGACATACTGCCTGGGTCGCTAGATACACTGGAAATCATGTTGGTCTGTAGTTTGCAATTCAAAACTAGAGCATTTTTTTCCTCTGAACAATTACGGTTGTGCGATATATTCACGAAGTTGTGTTGAACACGCTAGCATTCTTCTAAACATATTGAAATTCAAAACGTAAACCTCACCAAATTTAAAGAATTTTATTTGTTATATAATGTCCAGTTCCTCGAGAGGCAGTAAAACTGGCATCTGAAGTAATTGCACAGAGCTTGTTCTTTCATGTATGCCTTTGTTGTATATACTTCTAACAACAAAACATCTTGGTCTTCATACCAAGGATGGGAATGTGGCATTTGCATAACGTCCACAAGTTGTATGTCAATAGGTTTGTTAATTGGTCTTTCATTTTTCACGTTTTTTAATAGCTGGACTTTTTAGTTTTCGACCTGTGTATGGTGGACAAAGATATATTAAGTTTGACTTGAATAACATAATTCTATACATAGAAAACAGTAACTCAACGCCCCATAATTTTCTTAGTATTAATACGTTACCATTAACCATAGCTAATGAACTTATCCAAATCATGTTTCACTTTCTATGTGGATCAAGTGACCTACGAGGATTAAATCCGAAATCTAAACGCAAAGAGAACGAAAACATATAGTTTATTCAGAGAAGCAAACATGGTTAAACAATTGATTCTTTTTGTAGTGTTGATAACTATGGTCCTATGACGTTAATAAGTATGGCCATTTTAAAGATTCTGGCATACTATCAGCAAAAGGGCACAATATCAATTTGGTGTAAAACTGCAACAACATCCCTGAGCCCACTCTTCATGGACAGACGTTGAAGTCGACGTGTAGGTTCTATTCTTGGTGGAGGGTCTGTGTCAATACATTAGATTCCGTCTTGGAGGATCTCTCCGGCATCGTCTGCGACCCATGATGTCCCAATGTGCACGAGTGGGCTAGCATTGTCGTCCATGAAGACTGGTCTTGTGTTCACATGGTGTTTATCGAAACCATTCTTAGGTATCAGTGATGTACCCTCGTCCGTTCAGATTTTGTCTGATTGTCACAAGACATGTTTACCGTGATTTGAGAGGCACCTCCATACCACCAATGAACCCCAGTCAAACGGTTCTTGCTCAAAGATATTCCGTTGTGCATATTCCGTGTTTCTGCGGCCCCAAACAGAAGTTTCGCAATCAGTCATGAAGAAAAGACATTGACTTTCGTCCGACTAGTGGACACTAAAGTAATTGTTCAAGTTCAAGCTCATTCATTCACCAAAACCACTTACAGTGGTACGTACAAAAGTACATTCATACATGAATAATGATACAATATACAACGAGGCAACATCATTGAAGTTTTGAAAGATTTCCATAGATACATTTAATATATTTACTGAGCTTATCAATAATTGTGTAATTTATTTCCTTAAAAAGACTATGGAATTTAAAATAATTAGGTCTCGTACAACAATACTTTGGTAACAACTTAGTTCCATCTCCTTATAAAGACTTACACTCAAAACATAGTGGTACTCGTCCACTGCACCAGAGTTACACATCAATATTGCTAAAAGCGGCGTAAAACCCAACTCACTCACTCAGAGTTGCACATCAAACACTTTCTGTCATTAAAAGGGACATGATGCCAGGGCCCTACTTCAACAGGAAGCCTAGCATTACTTGTTCCAAATGTATTATTACTATTTCGGATCTGAACGTATCATGAGCCCGATGCAGCCGCCATGTTGTACATCGAGGAGAAGTTTGAAGATCTGCTGTTTGAACGATTTATAATACCTCTTTAATATGCAATTCGTGAAGAGGTAGCAAAAATACTAAGTACGCAAACATGTATGCTAGACACAGGTTATTACATTAATACACAGATTTATTTATTTTGAGAATCTAAAGTTTAAACACTAAATCTAAAAATTAACACTTTTGAGAAAGGAGAAAGAACGATGTCATCAGTGATGAATTTGGGTTAAACTTCAAATGTAAATTTTCCATGAATAGAAGAGATGGGCGCAGTCAGTAGAGAAGTTGGTAATTTAAAACAATCAACTTCTCTTCGAAGTCCAGTATCGGCGAAACTTTTGCAGTTATTCAAGCTGTAACCAGCCCATACACGATAGCAGTGCTCATGAAAATACATTAACCTCGACAAGCAGTACACACAGCCATCGCGTGTGGTGTATGTGACGAAAACACGTCTAGAAAGTGACATTTAAAAGTCAGACGATTGCTTATCAGATTCAACCCTGTTTGGGCGATTAAAACAACCAGATCAAATCATTCAATTGGTAGGCGGTTAAATCTATTGATGGTTTCTGATCCATGCTGGCAGTTCAAAGTGTAAACCCGAGTCTGGAGATAACTGTTCTTAGCCTATATTTAAACAAAACATAGCTTTCGATGTTCTTCGTTTGTTAGTGATTAAACAGCTCAGTCATGATAATACGGTTATTTTGTCAAACGAGTTATGAATATGGGATATATCCAATTCTAATTCAACTTATAATTAGTATGTAACACGAGATTTAAATATACCCCTTTCCCAAACAGACTGTATCTGTTTTTTGTTATATTTTGTTTATTGTTTGAGACAAAATATAGATAGTTTTGTGTAAATAATAGAAATGGCAATGAATTACGATCCTCAGTAACAATTCAGAGTTGTCTAATACTAGACCAAGTCCATCGTCAGCTTACATCTTGGCACTTTGTCGAGACAAGGATTGAAGAATCAACGAGTCAAGTTACATATGTCTTTCTAAATAGTCACAACGAAGTCCATTCAAATTACATACCTGCAATTGAGCTGTTAATACCATGAGCTGGTCAGCTGCTTATAGTCATATTTGGAGAATGGTTTGTTGGCCAAATCAAAGTAGAGTTCCAAGATTAGGTAGTCACAGAGAGATATCGCCAGACCTTACATGAGGGACCTGGGGCCAACTGTAGTATACATTGTACTAGTTACTAGTATACATTGACATGACCCATCGAGCGGCTGGACAGGATGACCGACCTACTTCATGTATTCCGCTCACTGTAGTCTCCCTTGTTGTACCACGCTGTACATGTGCGCATCTTGAAATAATCACTAGTTGTATTCACAATACCTGTTAAACCGTAAAGGCGAAGACATTCTCTCAAAACTCTTGTAATTTGAACTGAACACAAACTTCAAGGCAACGGTTTGAACCAAACGAAACCTGAGCGTCAACTCCATGCTCATGCCAAGTATATATAACAACTGGTTAATCACCATTCGAGTAACTTCAGAAGATTGTGTTTTAGTGGTAGATGGGCTGGTGAGGCTTGGTATAAGGGAGATAACTCTAGAGAAGCTACTGTCACTATTCTTAACACCAAAGATCAACCAAAACGACTGTATGTTGTTGGATGTATATATTTGGGAGAATGGCACAACAAAAACAATAAAGTTAATAAACGCATATACCAAACATTATACAAACGTCAGCAATGACAGTCGGTTCAACAGAATCCGCACAGAACAGGCACTCCGCAGCTCGAAGTAATGTTGTTCTGGGAAAGCACCTCGTCCGTCAATGCATGTAACATTATCACACGGATTGCACAATACCTGCATGTAGCATATGGCCTGACCTTTACATCAGTTGACTGTTCGGCCTGAATACACCAATCTATGGTACGGTGGTAACAGATAACGATTTTATTGCATGACAGCTGTTCCTTTATTTTTGCTCAGAACTTAACACAGTGAAGTCAGCTAAACGTATTATTTAAACAAACAAGCTCAAGGAACATGCTGGGCTTACTGATGCAATCGTGTTGGCTAAGTATCTTTACATTTAGCGGTGTTCCTTTGTGGCATAATTTCAAGGAAATACGTCTCTCCTAGCAGCACCATGGCGGCAACAGATACACCGACGGCGATCGCTGCCAGAGCACTGTAGTAGTCATGTATCTGCAGTGCAGAAACGCCAACAGCTATAGACTTGTCGGAACAGGACTCCTGGGTTGGAACCCACTTCCCGTACCATTTGGGATACAGTCCCGTATCCATCACAGACAACACTCTGGAATGAAAATACCGACAATAAAAACATAGTCATAGTCAGACAATATTCATGTTATACGGCATAGGATTCATGAATTCTGTGCAGTTAGTATTCAATCTTCGTGACGTTGATATATACATAGCAGCAATATCTGTAACTCCCAAGGTCGCCCTTGATAAAAGTACATTTCTGTGTTTGTCAGTGTTGTGGCGGTGGATCAACCAAAGTGGTAAACGGCTGAGTCGCTTCCGGCATGTTAGATCACTTGACGTATTTGGCTCCTAGAAACATGAAAAAAACGGGTGTAGTGTCGTGTTCTAGGGATCTTGAGAAGGGCAAATTGAAGATGTACTTACTCTGGGTAGAAAAGTCTCGCTAGAGGAGAATGCAAAGGAAATGGCATGCTTGATGTAGTTGGTAGGAAGCCTTCCTTCATCTTAGCGAGATTACACGTGCCATTCATGATAACATCAGAAGCAACATTTGACTGGATGTATGCAAAGTTTCCCTCATGCAGCCGCTGCAGCTGGTACAGATAATCTCCATCTCCAAACTTCGGACTAGCAGCATGTGTTTTTTCTATTTTCTTCCATATCGTTTTCAGCGTAGTTTGATTGGAGCTCTAAAGAAAACGAGAGTTGGATTTGTTACATCGTAGTGGAGTTTTCTGTTGTTGTGACATCTAGGAAAGATCATCTTGGAAGATGTTATTACTCTAGTTAAGGGGAGATGAGATATGTCACCATAATTATGTAATTAAAGCACAAGTAATTCCCTGGTAACATTTGTACCTGAAACGATTGTGTATCTCTTTCTTAATTACAGCACACTTTTAAAAAACTTCAGCGGTAAAGTATTCATTGATCAACAATCCTTGGGGTCATGGGCACAAATAGTCACTAAACGCAAGTGTGGTGACATCAAATGTTTAATGTTAAAATATGTCTCATCGTCCGTGGCAGTTTGATTTATATCGACTTATATCCTTATCATCTGTCACATTAAGAGCTGATCATGACATGGACAAAATAGCATTTAACTATGTTTGGCAACCAAAGAATTGAATATCGCCAGAAACGCTGTCGGATCGCATGAAATGATTTGTCACATCATTGTGTCGCCGTGGACAATACTTTGAGAGATATTTTCTTAAGATTAGTTAATATGTAATTTCATAAAATGCTGACCATTATAGCCAAACTAAGATAACTCCCAACAGGTGCCCCGACGTCATAGACATCCTGGTTTGCCAGCTCCTCCAGGGTGCTGAATGGGACGACTGTTCTACTGACTGCGAGGAAGGCCATCAGGTTACCTCTGTAGACAGCCACCATGATGAGGCAGAACAACCACCAGCAGCTGAACAGAATCCGTCCGGAGTCAAACACAGGTATTTCCTCTGAGGCTAAAATAGTCACGAGTATGAATATAATGAATGTATATAGACCTAGATACATACATGTACAGTCAAGGACGTGCTCCTACCGAAATGAAATATTGACCCTTTTCGCACAGTATTGTCAAACGCGTGTATATAGTTACGTCTAAAGTTCTAAACTTGAGATGTGATAACCTCGATATATACATATACGTATTGTACTTATTTACATTTTGAAATTTAAGTTTTAAGGAGTAATGTTGATAATAAATATACACATTGAAACAAGTATCGCAGCACCCCATCATTTCATAGTATCAATATGTTACCAAAGGGACCTATCCAAACTTAGATTTAACTTTTTATCCAGATAAATTGATCCACAAGGAATAATCAAATAGCAAATCTAATTACAAAAGGGACAAAAAGCTGAAGTTTATTCAGAGAAGCAAACCTGGCATAAATTAACTCATTTTGTAGTGTTGGTAACTATGGTCGTATGGCGGTATCAAGTGCAGTCATGTTGAATATTCCTGCAAAATTCGAGCACAATGTCAATGATATAACCTCCGCAAAATGCAATAACATCCCTGACGTTGAGGTACTATGTTCCATTCTTGATGGATGGATTGTTCTAATACATCAGGTTTTTGTACTGGAGGATCTCTGTGGCGTACTGTACGAACCATAATATCCCAAATATGCTCTATGGGATTGAGATTTGCACATGGTATCGTGCCGTAAGAAGAGTTTACTGAAACTTGATATTTGCTTAATGTAGGGTACACGTAGGGTCAAAATAATCATACAAACAGCTATATAGAGGTTAAAACTCGTAGGTGTTGTGATATGTTTCCATGTGTTTATAATATCATTTGTTCTAGTCTACAGGGTAACATCGATTGGTTTCCTGTCGGAACATCATGTATTCAGCACTCACACTGATGCAGTGGGGGCTTGATTCCCACCATAAGGCCATTAGAGCAAAAGTCTTTTCTCATTGTTCGCACATCTTTTGATTGATTAGGGGTTAACCTAAGCAAACACGAGTACAGCAATCCCACGACGAGCATCACAGCAACTCCAACAACGTAGACCTCCCATTTGAAGCAAGAGATCAACACTTTCCATGTCTTGTTTTTATCCTCCGATGTTTTATACATCACTGTTGAGTATTCAATGAGTACAGGGTACGTGAACTCCATCACCTTAGCACGTTCAACGTTAAAGGCATAGGGAACAGAACACATGTCCGCCTCCTGGAATGACACAGTGAGTGATAGAATCAGCATTGACATATGTACATGGTTTAGGCTCCTACGTATGTCAGAGAACAAACATATATGAAACAAACATATCAAAATCCATAAACGATTTCTCCAGCATCCACAACATCTGCAATGTGGCAGTGTCACGTGTCAGTTCACTCATAAATACCGAATGTCGGATCAGATTATAAACAGACTTAGCATTTGTAGCATCATCTACACTTTTGCAGGCGCCATGAAAAGTCTCATAGTTCCCAATGCACCCTGCCTCCTATACAAATAGTTACCTCTCTCTGGAGCACCCCTACAATTCCCGTCCAATTGCCGTCTTCGGTCTTGTGACCCCACAAGTTGTCTTGGGGCTCGGTGTACATGTAACTGGCAACAAATGGCAGTTTTTCACATATTGTGATACATTTCAAGACATTTTGAAAATAATAAATGATTCAGAGCATTTAGGTTTTGCTGTGATAATATTTGTTTTCGATATTTCATCAAACAAGGATAATGTTTTACATATTGGTTATTCATGTTAGAATGGTTACCAACTGATGGCGTGAACCTACGGAACCCGATTCGCAAATGATCAAGAAACAGTCACCTGAAATTGAATCGTCTTGAAAGGTAGTTCATGTATTCACCGGATATACCACTATAGTCAATGACGTCACTCCCTCGCTCCTTTACAGAGAAGGGCTTCCACTGTCAAATCAGATAGGAAATTACAAATAAGTGTGTTAGTACTCTGTATGAACTAAACTGCTTTAGCTATTTTATATACAGTCATGTTTTAACTTCACCTGTGGTGATGAAACTATAGAGGTAACTCATGCGTATACATATCTGGGTATTTGGTTACAGGAACATATAGACTTGCAATATACAGCTAAGGCTATTGCTAAGTCAGCTAGTTGAACCCTAGGTGTTATTGTTTGTAAATTTAAATCTGTGGGGGGTATGAATTATGAAGCTTTTACAACATTGTACGATAATTAGTTCAGCCAATTTTATCTTATGGGTCTGCGATATGGGGCACAAAAAAGATTAGTTGTAATAGGTTTGTAGGTTTTTCTTAGGAACGGAAATAAGACTTTGGCAGTTAGGGGGGAAATGGGTTCAAATTTGGCTTTCTAATTTAACAAATCAACGTATTGAAATTGTTCCTTTTGGAAAAGGATTTCTTCTGAAGGCGATAACAGGCTTCCACATCCTATTCAGGGATGGTCTGTAACAAAAACATAGGATTGTATGGTGGGAAAGATGTTTCAGGATTTACAATTGCCTTTAACTTCTAATTTAATTTCTTTGAAAAGTATGCTTATTGATAAATTGAATTGGATAAAACAACTTTGGGATGATAGGGGAATGCAAATGGTAACTAGTTAAGGAATGACCGTCTTTTTAAAACTTCTCTTAGCACTTCTTATTATGTTACTGCAGTAAGTAACAGGACCCATAGAAGTTATTTAGCCAAATTTAGATGTGGCACACTCCACTTAGAAATAGAACTTGGTCGTTTCAGAAACCAAATACTCAATTAGATCAGCGTATATGTAAATTCGTAATCGTTCTAATGTTGAGGACGAGGCACATCTTCTTATCGACTGCAATTTATATTCTGCTTTGAGAACACCAATTTTGAATCTGCTAAAATCCCAAATTCCAGCCAATTATCCATTTCAAATCAAACTATGTTTATCATGCAGTGCGACGATATATCGAATTCCATAGCTGCACTTATTACAACTATGTTTAAACGTATATTATTCACCACTCCCACCTCAATTGATATCTTAACTTGATGCTTTATCTGATATCTTAAGATTGTATATTTAGGGGTTTTATGTACATTTTATTTTAGAACTCATGGTGTTTTTATCATTCATAATTGAATTTAATGGCAAAGGTGTCTAATAGGCCCTAGGGCGATTGTTACTTGTTACTGATTTCTCTCTCTCTCTTTCTCTCTATATTATGAAAACCCAGTAATTAATCACGGAGAATCAGAGGGTGCATCATACTAGGCGTAACACTACCTCAAGCGCCACAACTATAAGGTTTCTTCCATTGAGGCCGTATCTCGTATTGGGGAAGAGGGTTGAGTTGTTCAGCCTGATAGTGCTGCCGCTGTCAACAATATCCCACTGTCGACCTTCCTTCACCCAAAGGAGGGTGGCAACCTCCTGTATCGTTCTATTCTAAAACATGGAAAGTAGCATTGTCACGGATCAGTGTTCCTGAGATCAGGGTGTTATGAAATAAGTATAAAGTAACACAGGAAAAGTGGTGAACTTTACAGTTTCAGTAATAGCAGCAAACGGAATCTAAAGCATCCTCGATAATCTCCAGGGTATACGGTACGATCACTCTCCACTATACCCTGGATGCATCCACGGCTTGGCCCCATGATTATATTACCTCCCTTGGCCGGCGTCTACCTGTCAGGTGTCTACGCTGGGAAGTTGAGCGAACTAATCACAACTCACTTTCGCTTCTTAAATTATCTAACCGTTTACACTTGGCAACACAATTGATGCAGAGGTACTCTGAAAGAGGAAGAAGGAGTTCTTGCATATATTTTTAAGTTTCAGATCTGTCAATTTTTCTGTATTATTTCCCCAAAACTCTGAGTGGCACTGCGAACAAACCTTCACGACTGCGACCGCTATCTTTGTTGACACTGGCAAAGGCAGGTAATATAATAATGGGGCCAAGCCGTGGATGCATCCAGGGTATAGTGGAGAGTGATCGTAACGTATACCCTCGAGCTTATAGAGGATGAATCTAAAGACAAACAATGAAATGGATCAAAGCCCCAATCAACGATGTCATCGATCACTGACCATGTCAACAAACCGTGAGCAAATACACAAGCTGATTAGTTGACCAACATATACTATTCACACTCTGCTAAGAGTCAAATCATGGATTCAACAGAAAACTATGATGTCGGGTGAAATTGGTTTAAATATCTAAGCCTATTGTAAGCATGGATCCTAGGTTTCAGTATGTCATTGCATCTTGTGGACCCCATACCTGCTATTGACAGGTGTTGTATATTTGTCAATGATATATATATATAGGGAATTATCGCTAGAAAACAAGAGGGGAGCTATATCGGTTGCACAATAATTACGTTAGGCGCCAAAATATAGATATGTGCACCAGAAATTGTCCTTTATGTGATCGAAATATAGAGGATAAATAGCATGATTTATGTATGTGCATCTTTGATTTCTACTAAAATTACATATTTATCAAAGACATACATCGATCATGTGTATCTGCATACATTGCCACAAACCACTCTGTACAAATCAAAGAAGAATTAATTTGTTCAAAACTGTTTATATTGCCACTACCACTTTTGTAAATTGTTTTTGTATCTTGACCAAGGAACTTCACATTGGTTGATTGGCTATCATGTCTCCTGTTTTTAGATGCACTCTTTACTATCTTATACTTTATGTTATGTTACGCGCGTCATTTCATGTGTCTGGCCTGGTGTCGACCGCCGTGATATTTCTTGAATATTACTGAACTTCACTCACTCATGTGCCTAGCGTGCCGTTTCAGACAAAAGCAGGGTTATTCTAGAATATGTTTGGAAAAACTGGAGATAACGAGAATTGTTGTACACAGACGTGAAGGCGAATACGATCGAAGAGATAAACCTACCTTGTTATGGCTCAATGAGATAACATTGTCATACGTCACATTTGTGACAGCAATGCCCGTGTCATCCTTTGGAATGAGAATCCACTTGGAGAAATGTCTTAACACCGACTTCTTGCCGACCTTTATATCAAGCTCCAGCCCCTAATAAAGAGATTTGTACGTTGATCCATGTGAGTTAAGAGTTTAAGTAACATTGGCAATATTTCAGCCATATCGTGACTAAAAACAAGTTATAATTATATTATAGATAAACGCAAATTATAAAAACCTGTTGGCGAAGGACAATAATAACAACTAGAATATCACATATATAAATGAAAAACTAGTAATTAAATCTAAAACATTTTAACTCTAGAGTAAAACACAATATAAAAACAGACTATAGATTGCCAACAACTGAAGGTACTGGAGGGCCATGGAAACTTACAGTATGTTTGCTTCCTCCATGGTCCCTAGCTGGATTTACACCATCCCTTCAGCCGTTAGCAATCTAGACAAATCTAGCCATACATTAAAAGAACACATATTCTACGATTAAAACAGTTTATATTTACTTTGCATGGTTTAGGACTACGTACCCTCTCAGAAGGAAATTATTTTTACGATACTTTAACCCTCTTTGAGGATACAGCCACAAACAATTTCAGTTACTAATTTAAAGTTCCAATCACAAGACATATATCTATTTACAATACATATTAATCAAAACATTTTAATTAGTTTTCAACTGTTTTTGCACTGAAATATTTATCCCTTGTGACGGAAAAATCAATGCAGGACATGCTTGGCCGTGATTCTCTCATCACAAGGGATACAAAATGGAGGATCCTCACCTTTCAATATACATGTATATTCATGACTGTGTATACCTGCTGTGGTCAATGCGACATCGTCGCATAATGACCTCTTCACATCTGCACCGACAACCCAAGAAGGTGTAACCGGTAGATGGTATAATTGCATGTAATTTATTTATACCTACACGTGTGTCCCACTTCTTTTGCATTAGATCACGGAAATAAGATCTAATGACGGCTTTGTAATCGGAGTATGGGATCAGAAGTGGTGTCACATATTTATTGAGTGCTGCCTTAGCAGCAAAATCGGTTATTGTGTTACCAGAAATTCCAACTGGTTAACCAACAGAAGACGATGTCGAATTGGCCAGTAGCAAGATCATTATATAACTCGTATATTTCAATTAAAATAAGATGTTTAACAGATACTTTTTTAATAGCCTGAAGGCACGAAGGAGAGTCAGAAAAGGTTATATATTGTTTATATTATACTAGGGGGTGTTTGTATTTTAAATCTGCTAATATGGCGTTTGCTTCGGCTGTGAAAATTGAGCTGTCATCTGGTAATCCAGAAGTTATTGTTCTGGATCCAATGGAAGTGGCGGAAGCATCCTTGGATCCATGTGTAAATAGGAATTTGTATGTATTATATTTACTTTTTAATTGATTAAAGTCTTGTTTATATTATATTATTCGTTAGTTTCTGATTTTTTAAACGTTGTCAGTGTTTGGTCGATCCCGCGACTTGTGGCCTCACTTGTTACCAAGTTGCCAAGGAGGAGAAGACAGAAGGCAGCTCAATACCGGCAGCAGAAAGGAAAGGTTTTACTCTTATTCCTAGAGGCGGAACAAGAGAAGACTTCTGTGTGTACAGATCCTCATAGAGGGGATTAAAAACACAGTTAAATGCAGGGTTAGAATTGTTTGAATATACTTGTGTGATTCATTGATTCATTCCTGTCAACAGGAGAAGTTCTAAAAGACCAAGACAAAGTCTTAGACCTTGGTGGTGGACTGTGAGTGAGTGAGTGAGTTAATATTTATCGTCACATCGGCAATATTTCAGCCATATCGTGATGGGAACAGTTTATAACTACATTAAAGATCAATAAAGCTGGACATTAAAAAACCTGTTGACGAAGAACAGTAAAAATACTAGTGTATCACAGATATCCATTTAAAACTGGCAATTAAATCTAAAATATTTGAACTATAAATGACAATACAATATAAAAACAGGCTAAAGACTGCCAACGACTGAAGGTAAATCACCATACTAGGGACCATAGGGACTTACGGTACATTTGCTTCCTGCATGGACCCTAGCTGGATTAACACACACACACACACACACACACACACACACACACACACACACACACACACACACACACACACACACACACACACACACACACACACACCTCAGCTGTTATTTGGTAGTCGAGAAGATATTGTTCGTGATCTAATGACAGTGGCACATGCCATCATCCTTGGACCCATCTGTAAATACGGATTTGTATGTATTATATTTATTTTTTAATTTATTATATTCTTGTTTATATTGTAATTCATTAGTTTCAGATTTCTTTACTTTGTCAGAGTTAGGTCAACTTCAGGCCTCAACAGCTGCCAAGGAGGAGAAGGAAAAAGACGGGAAGGAGATATATTTTCATGCTCAATGCCGGCAGCAGAAATGAATGGTTTAATTCTTATCCCAAGAGGCGGAACAAGAGAAGACTTTTGTTGTATAAATCTTCATAAAGAGGATTGAAAACACACTTAAATGCAGGATTAGACTCGTTAGAATAGAGTTTTTGTTATATACTGTAAAAGATAGTTCTGGGTCTTTATGCGGCTTATATGTTCTACAAAAGTGTGGACAATAAGTTTTGGACTTGGAAAATTTAAAGCCGTTTTCAAGACACCATTTATCTATTTTATTTAAACACAACTGTAATTGCCGTTCAATAGTATATATTTTTACCACTACAAGAAATATTAAAATCATCCACAAAAAGTGATCCATCGATTGAATCGTTTAAAACTTTGGATAAACTGTTGATCTTGATACTAAATAAAGTGACAGACAAAATACTGCCTTGAGGGACACCCTGATCCTGATTGTAATGATCAGACAGGGTTGAACCCACTCGGACTTGAAATTGCCTGTCTTTTAAAAAACTGTGATATAAAATAGGCAAACGGCTTCTCAAACCAAAATCATGTAAATCCTTCAAAATGCGATGCTTCCAGGTCGTATCATAAGCTTTCTCAAGATCAAAGAAAATTGATACAGCATTTTGTTTATTTACTAGAAAATAGCATTTTTCACAAGGGATTCTAATCGTACCAAAAATTTGGGAAATTCCCTGAAGTCCAAATTATATCCAAAATATTTAGAAGTGTTTCCAAAATGCTTCAAAAGCTGATAGTTTATATTATCAGCCCCTGTTGCTGTGTCATGAGCTTGCTCAGTGGCGGTATGTAGCTCATGTAGTGAAAATAGTTCATTATAATTATCACCATTGTCTGAGCTAAAACAATTAAATCTTTTCTTCTCCTGTTGTTTCTGAAACTCAGGGACATAACTGGATGAAGACGAATGCTTGGTGAGTGTCAGCAAGTTTGTTGGCCATGTCAGCTTTGTCAGTAAATACATTATGACGTCCTTCAAATGGTGAACGGTAGAAGTCACAAAGTCAATAACGGGTATTACCATCATGCGTATGAAGCACAGCAGTGCATCGACGACGAATATAGGCTACCAAAAGAGCATTGAAGGCCTATGGTATGGTTTGGGACGTGGTCACTGCCGTCTGGAACCTGTGTCTGAGATTATTCACCCGAATCTGTCTGTCCTGTCTTGGCGTCGTTACTCGGGGACGCCCAACACGTGTGTGGTCGGCGACGTCATTACTGTTTCCATAACAACTGACCAATGCAGATATCGTGTTACGATGGCATTGGAAATGTGCTGCCACCTGTTGTTGGCTCATGCCTGCTCGAACCATTCCAATGGTTTCGTGACGTTGAGCAGATGTTAATTTTGGCATGATGTGCATGTGAATTCCCATGTGAATTTGTGAACGTTTGAATGAGCAAAGATCAAGCTTTCGACAGTGACAGCAATTTCTGAGTTTCACAAGTTGTGTGCAGCTGCACAGGCTGCACGTGCAGTAACACATTGCAAGTCCATAGGCCACCATCAATGACGTCGCGTCGCCTGGCACCTGTATGAGCGTTTGATTGTCTGCAATACCTGCCATGTTCACACCTTTATTTATGTATAAAGATACTGTCTGTCTTTCTTTATATTTTCTGTGTGCACAGTTTCTTTATGTGGCCACTATACATAAGTTATTATCGGAAATGAATTCCTCAGGGAGTTTTACCTTTAGTATTAGTGTGGGCACTTAACCAAAGCGGACCGTTGAGGTCACCCATGATGATAAATGGCTTTGGACGCTGATCATATAGATTTTGAAGATCCGACTGTCGATCGTTCACGTGAATGTGAGGAGGAACTATTCTTCCGCCTGTCTTGTGAATTTTCTTGAGAATTACCTAGAGGAACCTCTGAAGTTGAAAGGATGGTAGGCGTTTTCCTGTTTAATTTCTTTGTTCCTTTTTCTTTGTTTGCATTGTCATTTGAAGGTTGAGAAGAAGACGTTTCAAATGAATTGCCAGACAGACTCTCGGTTTGTCATCGAGATTACATGTAGATTTAGTGACCGCAGGCGGAGGAGACTGAGTGACAGCTGCGGCTGTGGGTAGAGTGGCTAACACTGCAGGTTTCTCTGACATGCAATAGAGGATGTTGCTACAGACCGTGTAACTACAGCAGAATAAGTGATATTCGACGGAGTTGATGTCTGTTTTTGAGAACAGCTTTTTTGCCTGAAAGTATGAAATACTTTTTTCACACTTTTTGGGCTGTTTTTGCCACAAGGGGCATGACCTGGATGAAGGAGGATGCTGGCCATCATAGTTCGCGCATTTCTGATCTTTCTGACAATCTGTACCCTCATGGTGTTCTGCACAACGGTGACACACCACAGAGCTACGACAAGACTGTCCGTGGCCGAACGTCTGACATGTAAAACACCGGAGTCGATTGGGGGATATACACCTCCGCTCCGATGTTGAAATATCCTGCTTTAAGTACTTTAAGTGGAGTACGAGCAAACGTCAAGACATAGGAATTGGCGTTAACGATAACACACTCTTTCTTGACGGTAAAACGTTTCACAGCCGCAACTGCTTGTTCTTTTAGCTCTGTAACAATGTCCTCTTCGATCATGTCAGCAAGACATCGAGCTTTGTCACGAACGATGGCGCGACAGGAATTAAAGGTCTGTGCACAGACACAGCAACTTCGATATTTGCAAACGTTTTGATTGACAAAAGATTCAGAGATTGCTTCCTCCGTGCACACTCGAACAGAAGCGAGCCACAGGGCAGACGGATGACATTCGTCACTTCCCCACAATTTCCAGAAATTGCTTTAGAAATAGCGAATGGATTTAATTTTAACGGAAGTTTATCTTTTCCCTCGATTACAAGGAATCGAGCCCATGAAGCAACATTAGGAGATAGATGACTGGTAGACTGATCAGTATCATCTATTCGTCTATTCTTTTCATTACGATTCGAACCAGGTAGTTCTAGATCCATGATGGACTGACTGAGTATGGTTTTACGCCGCTTTTAGCAATATTCCAGCAATATCACGGCGGGGGACACCCCCATGATGGAATGAAAGGATTCGGCACCTCTGCTTCCGACGGAATGTCAACAAGGACAGTGTCACATAGCACCGGATGAATAGCAACATGAATAACATAGGCGGATCCAGGGGTGTGGGGTGTGTGCAGGCGTGCGCACTGAAAGAGCATAGGTACACTTCCGATCAAAGTTTGTAGGAAATCGTGTGACAAATATTCCACCACTTCTTTCTTCATATCCTCAATATTTCTGAGTCCCTTTTCATTTGTTCTGACCTTCATTAGTCCCCACACATTCTCAAGAGGGTTGAGATCTGGGCTGTTGCCAACATTTTCGTCCGACAACCACTGTTCTGTGTAGCTCGCGGTGTGCTTTAGCGTTATCGTGCTCGGGCTGTTGGAAGGAGGTGATCATTTAATATGTCAACATATCGTTCCTTCGTCAAATTTCCAGTGAAAATACACAACGTCATCACTCCACGTGATGATATCCCGGAAATTCCGGGCTGGTTTGAGCGTTGGTCGACAGGTTTCACGGTATCTTTTGTCCACATTTTTACACAGTTCGGAAAAAAACAGACAGAACTTTCATCAGAAAAGTAAACATTATATCAATCTAGATTTTCATGAGCCCTACACCAGCTTAAACGTCTTTCTGTTTGTGCATCTTTCATCAATGGTGAGGGAATTCCGCGCTTTTTCACCCAGTTTAGTTTTTGTAATTCTTGTCTGAGGGTTTCATTACATACCTGAGGACATCCTCTATTAATCATCTCATTTCTGCTATTCTCAACGATTTTCAATTTTCTCCGACTCTCAATCTGACCAAGTCGCCGCCGATCCGTAGTACTGAACTTCCTTGGCCTCCCTGCCCCTGTCTTGTGCTCCATCCCAACTCCTGACTGAATATTCTTAGTACTGTATACTGTAGACAGAGGAATGTCATGTCTACGTATACCAGCTAACTATTTTGCATTTGTCACACCACTTTCAAAATAATCTAGAACCAGCTTTCCTCTGCGGTCAAATCTGCCATGTCAACAAAGGAAGCCGTCTACTACACCAGGGGAGGTAACTCTTGATGTAGTAAGGTTCATTCTTAAGCCTACAAGAGTTGACTCCCATATTGAGTACATTACTGCATAATGTAGCACCTATTTTAAAATTCAATTATCAGTATCAGGAAACAAAGGTTTTCTCAATAATTTCTGGGAAGACTGTATATTCCTACCGTGAAGAGGACTTTTGAATGCATGTGGTACATGCACATATATTTTATCCATGACTAGACCGCCTCCGTGGTGAGGTGGTTAGAGCATCCGCCCGGAGAGCGGAAGGTCGCGGGTTCGATCCCCTTAAAATATGGTACTGGTTGGTCCATGCCTGGCGCTCGGCATTAATGGGTACAACAAGGACTGGTCGGCCCGGAGTCAGTATAATGTGTCTGAGTGGGGTATTCATGCTTCACTGCGGCATGGTATCTCAGTGGGCTAGCACTATAAAACCAGCTTAAGTCTGGGCTAGTACAAGCAGCTGCACATACACACGCATGCACGTCGTCATATGAGCGAAATATTCTCAAGCACGACGTTAAACCCAATTTCACCTCACCTCACCTATCCATGACTATAGTTTGTTCAATACATATTTTACATACATATACATTCCTGTAGTGGCACGATATCATTGAAAGCATCTGTTACACATTTATTGTCCTTCCATGGCAAGAGCTTGTTGTATAGCCCTATCATGGAAAAAAAGCATATGGTCCTACCGTGGCAAGAGCTTGGTGTATAGTCCTGCCATGGCAATAGCGTTTGTGGTCTTACCATAGGAAGAGCTAGTTAAATAGTCCTGCCATGGCAATAACGTTTATGGTCTTACAATATGAAGAGCATGTTGTACCGTCCTACCATGGAAATAATGTTTGTGGTCTTACCATAGGAAGAGCATTTTGTATAGCCCTACCTTGGCAATAATGTTTGTGATCTTACCATAGGAAGAGCTTGTTGTATAGCCCTACCTTGGCAATAATGTTTGTGATCTTACCATAGGAAGAGCTTGTTGTACAGCCCTACCATGGCAATAATGTTTGTGGTCTCACCATAGGAAGAGCTTGTTGTACAGCCCTACCTTGGCAATAATGTTTGTCGTCTCACCATAGGAAGAGCTTGTTGTATAGCCCCATCTTGGCAATAATGTTTGTGATCTTACCATAGGAAGAGCTTGTTGTACAGCCCTACCTTGGCAATAATGTTTGTGGTCTCACCATAGGAAGAGCTTGTTGTACAGCCCTACCATGGCAATAATGTTTGTGGTCTCACCATAGGAAGAGCTTGTTGTACAGCCCTACCTTGGCAATAATGTTTGTGATCTTACCATAGGAAGAGCTTGTTGTACAGCCCTACCATGGCAATAATGTTTGTGGTCTCACCATAGGAAGAGCTTGTTGTACAGCCCTACCATGGCAATAATGTTTGTGGTCTCACCATAGGAAGAGCTTGTTGTATAGCCCCATCTTGGCAATAATGTTTGTGATCTTACCTTAGGAAGAGCTTGTTGTACAGCCCTGCCATGGCAATAATGTTTGTGGTCTCACCATAGGAAGAGCTTGTTGTACAGCCCTACCATGGCAATAATGTTTGTGGTCTCACCATAGGAAGAGCTTGTTGTATAGCCCCATCTTGGCAATAATGTTTGTGATCTTACCATAGGAAGAGCTTGTTGTACAGCCCTACCATGGCAATAATGTTTGTGGTCTCACCGTAGGAAGAGCTTGTTGTATAGCCCCATCTTGGCAATAATGTTTGTGATCTTACCATAGGAAGAGCTTGTTGTACAGCCCTTCCATGGCAATAATGTTTGTGGTCTCACCATAGGAAGAGCTTGTTGTACAGCCCTACCTTGGCAATAATGTTTGTTGTCTAACCATAGGAAGAGCTTGTTGTATAGACCTACCATGGCAATAATGTTTGTGGTCTCACCATAGGAAGAGCTTGTTGTACAGCCCTACCATGGCAATAATGTTTGTGGTCTCACCATAGGAAGAGCTTGTTGTACAGCCCTACCATGGCAATAATGTTTGTGGTCTCACCATAGGAAGAGCTTGTTGTACAGCCCTACCATGGCAATAATGTTTGTGGTCTCACCATAGGAAGAGCTTGTTGTACAGCCCTACCTTGGCAATAATGTTTGTTGTCTAACCATAGGAAGAGCTTGTTGTACAGCCCTACCATGGCAATAATGTTTGTGGTCTCACTATAGGAAGAGCTTGTTGTACAGCCCTACCATGGCAATAATGTTTGTTGTCTCACTATAGGAAGAGTTTGTTGTACAGCCCTACCATGGCAATAATGTTTGTGGTCTCACCATAGGAAGAGCTTGTTGTACAGCCCTACCATGGCAATAATGTTTGTGGTCTTACCATAGGAAGAGCTTGTTGTACAGCCCTACCATGGCAATAATGTTTGTGGTCTCACCATAGGAAGAGCTTGTTGTACAGCCCTACCTTGGCAATAATGTTTGTTGTCTAACCATAGGAAGAGCTTGTTGTATAGACCTACCATGCCATGAACGTTTATGGTCTTACCAAGGAAGAGCTTGTTGTATAGCTCTACCATGGCAATAACGTTTGTGGTCTTACCATAGGTAAGACCATAAACGTTCATGGCATGGTAGGTCTATACAACAAGCTCTTCCTATGGTAAGACCACAAACATTATTGCCATAGTAGGGCTATACAACAAACTCTTCCTATGAAGATCACAAACATTATTGCCAAGGTAGGGCTGTACAACAAGCTCTTCCTATGGTGAGACCACAAACATTATTGCCATTGTATAGCTCTACCATGGCAATAACGTTTGTGGTCTTACCATAGGAAGAGCTTGTTGTATAGTCCTACCATGGCATGAACGTCTATTGTCCTTCCTTGACAAGAGCTTGTATAATTGTTGCTACTATGTGGCAGTGTTTATAGACATTGTTGAACCTTGCTTCATTTGTATTATATTGTTTCTGAATAGATTCAGTAAAGGGTAATGGTGTGTTTTATGGTGTATTATGTTTCGACTGGGATTCAAGACAGGTGTGGATTATTCCAGTGTTGTTTTGTCCACATATAAAAGGGACGTGCTCTTGTCTCGGTCATCTCACATAAGTCCTCCTGAGAGGATACGTAAGTCCCAAACACTTTCCAAGTCAATTTCGCTCAACCATACTTTTTAATCTTAGTATTTTTCTTATCTTAAATTTCAGCTAAATCTTCCTATCATCGCCTGCGGCTGCAGGGATGATGTAAATCCAACTAGGGTCCATGCAGGTAGCAAAAGTAATGTAAGTCCCCATGGTTCCTAGTATGGTGATTTACCTTCATTTGTTGGCGATCTATAGCCCGTGTTTTATATTGTATTGTCTGCTTTAATTAAAATGTTTTAGTTTTCCAGGCTAGTTTTATATACACATCTGTGATAGTCTAGTTATTTTACAGTCCGTCGATGACTGGTTGTTTACCTACTTGTATTTATTGTGTATGTCCAACATTTCTCGTCACTATATGGCTGAAAAATTGCCGAGGTGACGTTATATTTTAACTCACGCACTCATCTCACATAATATCTCACGTTACAAGAAGACCAGCAGTTGTGTGAAGATCACCTTTTGCTTTGGATATTTGGAACCTGCTATAATCACTGTCTTTATATTGTACAGCGTAGCTTTGAATTTGTACTGTCACTTTTGTAATGTAATTCCTTTTTTAGGGAGATATAAACATACTGAATTTAGAATACAAGTGATAATTATGTCACATTTCTGTGTTGTTTGTTAGTTTCGCATCGAGTTCTATCACGGACTGATTTCCATATAAATAACTTGGGAATCAACACGTTATACTGCTGTGACAAGGTCCTGTATATTCCGATCGTGACACTTGACGCGTGACTGTGATACATATGTTAAAACTTATCGTGGCAAATACTCGTTATATTTATCTGGAATGCATGTACTTACTCGTATATTCTTACCGTGGCAAGAGCTTGTTGAATACATCTGGCCGAGCAGAACAGGACAAAGTTGAGCGTTCTCCGCATCATATCAATATTCTCCTGCTGGACCAGGCTGTCAATAACTGATGTCATGTCATCCAGAAATGCATCTTCTCCCATAAACTGAACTTTCGTACTATGCGTCAAGTTACCAATGAGTTTGTATAGACAGGAATCTGAAGTGTGCAGGTTCAAATGTAATGGTCACATTAATAATAAAGCAATCTATATATGAAGGTTATATAATGTAAAACATTGTTTTATTACGACTACTGCAATATTTGAAAGGCTAGACTTATGTTTTTATTCATGGGCAATTAACAAAATATTTTTAATTATGCATATTTATCACATTATACGTCAGGACATTGAACAGTATACAGTTTCAATATAATGCATACTGATATTATCAATTCGCGTTCTCATTCAAAAGCGTTTGCATTTGTTTTTATTTGTATTTGATTTCCATATGTGACGGACATTCCGTCAATATAATCATATAATTGACATATATTTAACGAATTGATGTTTATCGACTCTATACATGCGCCATATGAAATAATTTACAAATGGGAAGTGTTTAGAATATATACTAATATATTAATATCGCATGCACGTTTAATCTAAAATAAAATAAAAATATAATCAATTACTTCTTTTTCTTCTGAACAAATGATGTCGTTCCTGGATGATTTAAACTCTGATTGTCTTATTTGCACGCAATGACATTTGACGATATCACATGCCCACGCGGTGAAATACCTTTGTTGTATATTTCCGATTGTATTGAAATGTGCGAAACGTTGTTATTTTACAAAACTGTATGGAAATCAACCGAGCAGCAAAAAAATATATACCGCCTTCGTCATTTTCGCAATCGTAAAAATGTATTTTTATTTAATTTGATTATGTATCGAAAGTGTAAAATACATTGGTTCAAAGTAAAATGGGTAGGAAATCAATCAATTTGCAATACAAATTATCACCGTGTAAAAGTATTCATGATTTGCTGTCTAGGAATCCTGGTCAGTATGTTGTCTGTATATGATGTATCAATAATTAAGGTATTTCTATTTGAAAATTTCAATCAATCTTTATTTGCACTTAAGAGGCCACAGGCCTATAGTACAGGTATACAGACAATATTATTATTAGGCAGTAGAGAGTACATTTCTTCTATGAAGAAAGGCTTGATACAGAAACATTGACAATTTTTCTAGATGTTCCTTGCTAGAATAGGTTAATAGAGATAAAAATATATGATTATTATGATGTACAAAGTAACATTTCTTTATATACTTATTTCTCAAAGTGTGATAGGCTGGACAGACACAAAGATAATGATATTCATCTTCATTAGATTCAAATCACACATTTTACATATTCAATCTTCTTTTTTTATTCCAGTATATCTACCTGTTTCTATTAACAAATCATGGGATGAGCAACGAAAAATGTTAAAATCAAAACAGCCTTACAGGTACTTTGCACAAGCACGTGTTTAGTGTATTGCTGTATTGTGGTGTCATGCCATTGTTCTATTAGTTTATCATCTTCGTAATTCGGAAACATAAAATATGATCACCCCATGACAAAACTACGACAGATGTTTCATTTATGTATGATGTCATCTTAATTTGGGAAAACACATCGAACTTTAATCTGATGTAATATGTGAATCCTCTTACCTTGTTCGCCATCATACATAATGTAGACAGTCTCCATCTCTTCCATTAAGATTATGTTTGAAATGGTTGTCATTATGTGGCAGTCAGCGTCTGGTAGATTTATGTCTGACAAAACAAACCTTAGAATTATGACAGCGCATGGCATTCTTTGCCTGTACTTCGATCTGTCCCTTTCTTGTCAATATTTGCCTGGTTTTATTTTATATTGAGAGATTGATTATCCTTGCCGTTGTTCTGTTATCATCAACCGAGGGAACAATACAGGTAGGACATTATTAATAGTTTATAGTTTGTGTATTATGTTCTGATGACTTCAACAGTTGCTGGTCTGAGAACCACAAACAACAACTACTACAAGAAACTAAAACAGAAAGGGTCAATACCAATGAACACAAAATCAAATATAAAGTGAGCGAGTGAGTTTCTTTAAGCCACTTTAAACGGTAATTCAGTAAAACAGAAGGGGGTCTTTTTATTGTAACTGTGGCAAAAGTGTCTGAGTGCATATCATGATGACATTTGTTTCTCAAGATGAAGTTATGTAGAAACGGTAGAAGGTATGTCTCTTCTGACCACAGAATAAAGCAAGTTTTCCATTATTAAGGCTAGTTGCCCCATAATTTTTATGGATTTGGTTTGAATTTAAGGATAACTGAAAGAATTCATGCGTTGTACATATGTAGTGGCTAACGTCGTTATATACATGCAGGTTGTAGTTTTATGAAATGATATAAACACTACCAAAGTAAAGTCATCTAAGCAATGTATATAATCTAACCTACCTGACTTCCAGCGTGTCTGTGTCACAACTCTTGCCGTTGTCACACAATGGACCAGGATACCAAGAAGCAATGGAAATAGCATCTCTGGAACAAGCAGACGCGAATACTAAATACCTTCTTGTCAGACTGTTTATATAGTGCATATTAATCAATAGGACACACTTGGAACACAAACGTACATATCACATGTGTGTTCTTGATGATGGCCAGGTTTAATGAGAATCGTATTTACCTTCATATATTCTTTTGCAACCAAAGAGCTAATGGTAGCTTATTGCAGGATACTTATTTGTCTTTTCCGCTAACCAGGTGGTCTGTAAGGTCATTAGCTGAGTAGAACTGGGTAATTGGTGCGCCTGCCAAATGAGAAAGATTTAGCAATAATATGAAGAGCGACAAACTGTGGCCGACACTTGAACACAGTAAAGAAGTCTGCTTATTCATACACAATTCACCAACACTTGTCATTTGTATGATTTGAAAAATGTTTCTGATATATGTTTCTTATGTAATGTAATTCACAAACACTTGCAAATGCATGATTTCGAAAGGTGAGTCGCTTGAGATATTGTTACCATTGAGGGAACTGAAATTTGACAATGGCCACACATAATAGAAGATATAAGTCATTATATCAGTAATGTTGAACTGATAGCCTTAAGTAATCACATGACAGGACACATCGTGTGGCCGATATATTGACCAGTTCTGTCACCATACAGGCATGCAGGAAGTCGAACGTCGATGGTTCAATGTTGACGTAGTCGTTTGCGAGACTTCGGCCAACTACCAGACTAGCTGTACAATGCGTCTGGTTTTGTCGATTATCTGATCAGGTTTCCCTGATTGATCATGTCAGTGAGGTCTTGTTGGTGGAGTAATTAAGCCATAAGGTGCCGGTCATTTATCCATATCCATACATGAGTTCCAGCGACGTGAGGATGTGATAACTGGCATTTATAGATACTGCTAGTGATTATGGGACCTGTCCTGTTGGGTTTAATGTTTAGAGGGGATAAGTCTGAAAACAAGGGGACAGAAGTTCGGTTAGTATGTCGGGGCATGATCACTCAGCATAGCTTGGGAAATAGTCTCAATGTTCTGCCTTTCTTACACTCTCATACTTGAAACAGATACACCCTCACACAATGTGAAGAGAGTTGTTCTCGATGTATTTGATAATAGTGACTCTTATGCAACTTATGTTAGTTAACGTCACAAACCTACACTCAGGTGTCTGTCAAAGAGGTTAGATTTAAACCATTTTAAGACTGTGTCCGCAATACCTACGTCCGAGTGAAGACTGGGAGAGGGTTATCTTGTGCTGTATCAAATGCAGCATTTAAGTCCAGGGTTACTAAAAGGACTGCGTTTCCGTCGTCTACCGCTCTTCTGATATCGTCTAGCATCCTGGCAAGGGCGGTCTCCGTGCTGTGCTTGGGTCTGTACGCCGACTGGAAGCGTTCTTGCAGTTTGTGGAGTTCCAGTAGTGAAGAGAGACGGTGACAAGCTTACTGAGATGGCAGATTGCACACAGGCCGGTAGTTCTTTTAGGCTTCTTTGTCCAATCAAGGTTTCTTCAGAAGTGGCTTGACAATTGCTCTTTTTTGGTTAAATGGCATTACACCTGATGTCAGACTGCTGTTTACAAGTCTGGTAAATGCTGGGAGAAGAATGTCAAGATTTTCATAGACAGCCTTTTTGAGATTGGGTCCACTGCGATTGATGTTGGCTATTCCCTTTCTCATGAGTGACATCACCTCTTCCTCTGTGAATGGCTGAAGAGTAGTAAGGTTGTTCTCATGGAACATGGTAACATGGATATTTTCCTGTCGAGAAAACGAGTCATCCAACTCTTTGCGGATTATAGCATTGGCACAAGTTATTATTGGGCATGGTCCGGGTATAGACTACATACGAAAGTACATTACCTTAGATTTATCCTCATTATCTTGCATATTGATATTAACAGACCAGCTACTAAGGCAGACAGATAAGATTTGGAGATCCGACTCCGATTCCGCCCACGGAACGACATCATCAGGGTATATTAAAATGTATGTGTGCACTTTTCTCCAATATCAATGGTTCGTACATATAGAGGAATGCGACGATGTCGTATTGGCCACACAGAATATACTCATGAATACCTATTGAAAGGTGAGGATCCTCCGTTTTGTATCCCTTGTGATGAACGAATCACGGTCAAGCATGTCTTGCTTGACTGTGTTGAATACTCCATCACAAGGGATAACTATTTCAAAGCACGAACTATTAAGGATCTTTTTAACAATATAAGTTCTCATTTAATTATTGCATTTTTAAAGGAATTAGATTTGTTAACTGATTTGTAAATAGATAAATATTTTATGATTGGAAGTTTGAATTAATAACACAGATTGTTAGTGGCTGTATCCTCAGGGGCGGTTAAAGTACTGTAAAATGATTGTCCTCCTGAGAGGGTACGTAAGTCCCAAAACATTCAAAGTAAATTTAAACTGTCCATTTTTTTAATCGTAGAATATGTGTATTTTTAATGTATGGCTAGATGTGTGTAAATTGCTAACAGCTGAAGGGATGATGTAAATCCAGCTAGGGTCCATGCAGGAAGCAAATGTACTGTAAGTCCCCATGGTCCCTAGTATGGTTTTAAATTTCTAACTGTGATAATCTATATTAATGTATAACTTGATTTAGTCACGATATGGTTGAAATATTGCCAAGGCAGAAGGCGTCCTTATTTTACACCACCCTTGTGGTCCCTGTCGGTCGTAAAACCGTTAAATTACACACAGTTTGAAACACTGTCGTAGGATGTCGCGCGTTCCACATTCCCCCTCTAATCCCATTTTACTTAGGCTTTGCCATACTATACGTATATCCACTTAATCGTACTCTTTTAGAAAAATATAGATAAAGGCTGTAAGCTAGTTTCTACGATTGATATACCACGGTACGTGTAACATTGCGCTCCTCTCCTTTGTAAATCCATATTGTTCTTACGAGATTGCGATGTTAATCTACTATTTTGGACATTTAAGCAAATTAGTACACCACCGAAACTAAACTAATCCCAATACGTGAGAGTAGATCTCTAGATTACGTTGTGTTACATTTCCGAATAACTTTTATAATGCCCTGAGACCATATGTCTGGGAGCTACCCTGTACTTTAACATAATTATATTAACGAATTTTACAAGAAACAAATTAAAACAATATCATCGGACCCCGTGACTTTCCTTTTTCAAATTGACATTGCAAAAAGCAATTCATCACTTGTTATTTCATCCTCTGACATGTACTAGAAGTGGAGGTTCTATTGCGCGTTTGTTTAATTACTTGCTATCTCTGTCGTGTACATGCAAGTGACTGAGTGAGTATGGTTTTACGACGATTTTAGCAATATACCAGCACTATCATGACGGGTGACACCAGACATGGCCTTCACATACCTTGGTCTTCGGCGTGACGAGAAAACGGTTTTACCACTTGGCTACCCCACCCCACATGCAATTGATGATGATCTTTATTAGCTACCTCAGCAACACCTTTCGTTGCCGTTTTCGAAATGCTTACGCTTTGTTACCTAAATAGATTGGAAAACTTTCATATTAACACCACTTTTAACCAGTTCTTTGCAGTAGCATTGCCTCTTTCTGTCATAGTGCACCCCGGATTGTTCACCTCGGACAGTCTATCTGATATTTCTCACTTTAGCATGTCACACCAAGTATCATTTACACCTTCAGTGTCCGATTGTGTAGGTGCGCTGAATTCCAGTGATGCTAAATACTCAGAGGCAATATTAATAGTTATTGTGACATGGACATTTTCATTGATAATCTTGTGAATCAATGAAGGAGAGAAAGTGTGGGTTAGAATGGTGGACCATGCAGCTGCTTGAACTGCACGCTATTTGCAAGAAAAATGGTATTTTTCGCGAAGAATGGCCAGAAGGGTTCACTTCAAACAGCCAGACAACCTGACGCTTTTCATTTCAAGTTGAGGACATTGCATTGGGTTCATTGGTCAAAGTCGCTATCTTGTGCACGTTACCGACAACTGTTGTCGCGTATGGACACGTCGTAACGATGCACGTCACCAGGAGAAGACCTATATACAGCTGAACCGTTTGATGTTGGCTCAGTGATGGTGTGAGATAACTGCATTATCGTACTTTTCCACAGACACCACCGACTCCAAGATACTTACCTTATATATTCCGTTTGTGCAACTGTATATTATGTTTAGCACTATCTTGT